AGCGTCGGCAGAAGACAACTGGAGTCTGGAACAGACTCCTATATATTTCCACCATGCTAATCTTGGCCATCCCTTGAGTTTTCTGCTGGTCGCCTGGGGAAGCATTAGTTGCTTCGCTTTCTGTTCAGGAGGCATTCGCAAGACACTCCCAAACCATCGCAGCTGTGACTTCTCAACTTGAAGAAGCTGAGGCTGTACGCCAAGGCTCTCCCGGATGTCAGTATTGCGAACCATGTCGAGACGCTTAAGGCGCGTGTTAAAAAGCCCATTTTAGTGGTTTGTACCCGGGTTCGAAGCTTTTTAGTCATGGTCAATGGTCCACGACTCGTGACCGTCGGAATACAGATCGACTTGACCACCGGTAGCATAGTTTTCAGAGTAAGTTCTGCTTTATTCACAGTGGATCCGAGAGTTCACGCAGAATGCCACTGGCTTTTCCAATCCACAGGTCAATTCCTTTCTCAGATTTTCTGTCACCAGTACACTCGACCCCGAGGTACATGAACTTCTCCACTTGCTCCACTGCCTCTCCGTTAATTTGAAAAGAGCAGCGGACATAAGAACGAGAAAGCACTAGGCTTTTCGTTTTAGATATGTTCACACGCAAGCAGGTCACGTCGTACTCGTCTGTGAACCTTTCAGTGGAGCACTGCAGATCAATTGCAGAAAATTCCAATAAAACATGGTCGTTACAAACAGTAACGTTCTTGTCTTTACATCTCCTACACCGATACATTCATCGCCGTAGCGGCTCCTGACCATTCGAACCATGTACAACAGAAACAGCAGAGGTTACAGGACGCAACCTTGGCGGAGACCAGTGCCAACGTTGAAAGGTTTCGACTTAAGGCCATTTACTCCGACGCAGTACATGCTATCAGAATACAGTGATTGGATGGTCTTTAGCACCTGGCCATCTATCCCGTATGCTCGCAAGCATGACAATAGACTGTTGCGTGGGATCCGGTCATAGGCTTTTTCTGGATCAAAAAAGCACATGTACATCGGACTAGCGTATATGGTCAGAGGTGCTTCGATTGGGCCTGAGGCCCTATTGCTCTTCTTGTATCTTGGAGTCAGTTATTCCGTTGATGAAACGTTAGCGAAATGAAAAAAAAACAAAAAATGAAGCAGGACAATTTTTCTCGAAATTATTGAGTCGCACCAATGCTAGAATACAGGCAATGGTGTCACTTGTTCGGAAACGCCTTACGTTTCTGTATTCGATTCGTAAGTTTTGTTCACCGCTAAATAATTCGTTTAAATAGCCCCATCCGAACTTAGCTCGATAACTCTTACTGTGACATTAGCAAGTTTACTGTTTGTTCTCTTCTATTTTTTATTCGCCCTAATTCTTAGATAAAGAAAGCCAACGTGACGAACTTGCGGGTTTCGCAGTTGCATCTCGTGGATCTGGCGGGCAGCGAACGTCAGAGAGGTTCAACGGTCGACGATCTTCGCCTAAAAGTAATAATTTATTGGTTGTCACTATTCATCTGAGAGTCTGATTGATTTAATTTGTTTCAGGAAGCGTGCTACATCAATAAATCACTTCACGTACTGGGTAGTGTGATCTCGGCGTTGGTGAGCAGATCGAGAGGCAAAATTCGACACATTCCTTACAGAGACTCCAAACTTACCTTCCTTCTTCGAGTATGTCTGTTCAGTCGTATGTCTTTGTGTTTTTTTAAACCTGGTTTACACCTTCTGCTGAATGTCACGCTACCTATTCTGTGATAGGTAGAAAAAGATTAATTGCGACTGCAGATTTGCTTGCATCGGACAGTATGATTGGTACGTCCGTAGCCGAAAGTTACATGATATCATAATTTTTCGCAAGCTTACGACTTTCTATCCTTTTCTCAGCAGGTTTTGCCAAAGTCCAGTGGTGGTGTGAGTGGGGTGGATTTCTTGCTTATGATTTTTTAATGATAATTTGCCATACATTTGTAGAATTCTCTCGGAGGAAATTCTAGGACCTGTCTGATCGCGAACATACATCCAAGTCAGAAGTAGGCGGTCGCTTGTTTGATTTGAAATTACGTAATGCATATTTTTTGTCTGTTTTTAAGTTGCATCAGCGAGACGCTGTCAACTCTGCAATTCGCGCAAAGAGCGAAACTCATCCGCAACCGCGCTGTCATTAACGAGGACATCTGCAGTGACAATGTCGTTGAACTGCAGAACGAGATCAAGCGACTACAGCAGCAGCTGCTTGCCACGCTTCCCGCTGACGGAAACAGGGAAACAGAAAGTAGCGGTCACTGATGATAACGGTTAAAGGATGATTATTAATGATTTCAGCTGAAATCATACCCTATGAGTCGACGGACCACATGTTGACCTCTATTCGATGGGATGAAGAGTTTTTGAAGGCCATGCGCCTCGTTAAGAGGTTTTCCTTAGAAAAGGAGGTGAGCTTTACTTTTGTTAAAAAAATACGCTAAAACAGGATTTAAGGTCTTATGGTCCCACACTTTTCAAAGTACGAATTATATGAAATCAAACAAATTGTCAACTCAGTCTAACTTAATTCACTCTAAAGTTCTTTTCATTACCAGATTGTCACTTGACGTCTGAAAAACAGTGATTCGTACCTACTTCACGTTCTCATATGTAGAATTTCGTTTCTGTGAGAAGTGCGATTGACTCAATACTTTTTATTCTGTTTCTTATGATCCTACGCTGTGGTAGCGGGCTGAAATTACACTGAACCTTCGCTTGATGATTTAATCGTTATATACAGTGAAGATGAGGTGATGACGATTCTAACTCACTTTTGTGCGTTGTCTTGATGTGGTGCAAAAGCCCTTTCCCTTGGGCATTTGGCGTTGCTCACCATTTGCCAGTGATATATGTCCGTGACCAAAGCTGCGCGAAAGGTTTAATTGCTCTGAATCCGCTAGGTTGGCTGAGATTGGAGAACACTGAATATGGTTCGTGAGGTTTCACTCCCGAAATGACTGTCACACAGCGACTCGTCAAAAGTGCTTATGGAAGGGAAAGATCGGAGAACTATAAACTTCCATTTTTCACGCGCCCATAGGCTACAACCGGCTGGATGAACAAATGAAAAAAATATTTCGAATATTCATTTCTTATGACGCTGTAGTTGAGGTGCCATAGCACAAAGCACTGCATACCATTTTGGTGACTCTTATAGCTGAACGGCTGGAAGTATAGCTTGCCTGATGAGCAAACAGCAGATGATCTTTTGCATTAGTTTTTCGAATAATCAATATCATTGTCAAAAAAGTATATTAATTAAAAAGAATTTTGTTGCTGACCAAGCATAGTTAATGATGACAACGGTAACGACATAAAAGCTAATTAACTAATCTGTTTTTAATTAATTTAGGCTTTTTCGGCGAACGCTAACGGTTGGAAAGTGTTATATGAAACTACCGAAAGGCGCTTCAGGCGCAAGTTTTTTGAACTACGGCAGTTCGAAGCCCGACTGAACTCATACAAAAGTTGTTTGCAGCGGTTCGCTGATGAGCATGGCCTTCCCATGCCGGTCAATGACTGCGATATCGAGGTATCTGACTGCAAATTGAATTTGGTTGCCCTTGCAATATTGCTGCTGTTTTAGACTCGTATATCCGATTCGGATATGGACTCACCGTGCGACAACGAGTTCCATTTTCGATATGAAAACGAACAGCTTAAGGAAAAGATTAGGATCTTGGAAGCTTCCGAAGCCATTATGCAATGGTTGTCAACGGAAAAACCATATCAGTCGCAACTGCTCACACTCCTGGACGAAGTGAATGGCATGTCCAACGGTACTGTCATGTGAAACTGATACCCTGCATCCATTCAAGTTATTCCTGGCAATAAATGTTATTGCTGTTATCATCACCTGGGGTATCAGGCTCCAGGACTGACTATACAGATTATTGATGTTTGATGCTAGAAGAAGTTGGTTGAGTGGATCAGTAATGCATCCTTGACTCTGTTGTTATTCTCACGCGATTACTTTCATTTTGTTCCACGATATGTTATACTTATGGGTATAGCATGTTCCATTATAGTGAAAGTTTTCT